TGGTGGTCGTCGCGTCGTGTTCTGTTCGATATAGTGGTGGTCGTCGCGTCGTGTTCTGTTCGGTATAGTGGTGGTCGTCGCGTCGTGTTCTGTTCGATATAGGAATTATCGCAACGTACACAACGCGTGTAAAATACATTGTTTACATGAGCTACGAATACGTACAGCGCGACGACCACAGCCATTTAACTTCGGTCTTGTTCTATAAACTAAGATAACCTCACTTATAAGAATCGTGTTATTTAAAAAATCACTGTTATGATCAGTGCGAGTGTTGTTGCCAGTATGACGCACGCCATCACCGATTACAAATACGCTGACAATAAGCGTCTGGCAGTACTATAGCTGAAATAGCACAGGCTTCTGTTATTCGGTTACGAATTGTGAAACATATGCAGCATTTGGTATAAAATGCATTACAAGTTCACATATATAAGTCTTGTTTTGGGGTTGTATGTATGAGAAACTGCGTCCTAGCAGAAGAGATACATTATTAAACTAATAAACACACACTAATGTCAGCAATATATCACCATGCATGAATGGGTGCTGAACGGCTACGTTGAATGCAATGAGCAAATACACAACCATAAATGTATGGCGGTGGTATGGTATCATTTAATTTGTTGCTTTCATAGAAAAACACCATGGCGCCATAAGCTATTAAAACAAAATCAATGGTGCTGGTGGACAAAATGCGAAAAACGTGACAGTGGGCACATAAATGTGAGTGAGTAAAAATATATATAAAGCGAACTATACAAATATAATTTTTCCTTTTTGAATATTTACAAAATCGACATTTACAACTTTTTAAATCTAGTTTAAAATATATATTTAAGTCTTAAAAATGGTATTCTGAATTTTTTGACTGACGACGAAAGTACATCTTCTTGTGGTACTATTCTACAACAGAAGTATGTGCATTGGTATAGTATTATATGATCTTGGAGCTAAAATGTATACCAGCTTGGTAGCTGTACTGCAATTTGTATGTTATTAGTAAGGTTGGTCTCAGCCACCCGCGCCTCGTCCACCGGTCAAGCCGGTATGCAAACCGACGGGATTAGTTTCAATGCTAGTTTGTGCTGGAGTACAGCACGAACACAACTAGCGATTCAAAATGCACGTACGTGTGCTAATCATAAACTAGTCATAATGGTGAAATATCGATTAGCTTTAAAAAGTTAATCAATATTTACTGACTCTAAATACTGATTCACTACCTTGAGGAGGTCGCAATGTCGTGGAACACGTGTGCAATGGAAACGAGTTGATGCACTATCTGAAAAAACGGTCAATACAGTACTTTAAAAAATCATATAAATCAACCGAAGCCACATACATAACAAAAACTGATGTGAAACAACTTCCAACCCTTCAATTATATCCTAATCCGGAATGCGCATAATGGCATCTCTCTTGCAGTGTACAAACTGAGATGGCCATGCTTTTCCAGGTTTAGGGTTATAACATCATCCTAATCTGTAAATGACCCGAGAGAAAGTTGGCTTTGTGTGGTCAAGAACCTCAGAATTCGATATTGGTTCGCATTGCAGATCCACAATAGACCAGTGCATCCATTCGCATTGATCCTCTCGCTAACTATATACATATTCGATACATCGTCATCGATTTGTTTTCACTTTCAATCACCGAAATGCAAACCTTATATGAGGTCTTGATAAATAGATCGGCCTATGTGTGATTGGACTAATCGCACTGTGGTCTTCGATATAGTACATTACATACACGCCCCCTGAGACTCTGTGGCGATGTCTAGCTAGACTCATTCGTTATGTGCACAATCATCGATCGGAAGAGGGGCCCGTTGGAAATGACAACTTAGTAAGCGCCATTTATGGTTAAGCTGCTATCAAACGAGCCGCGGGTCGACCAGTGCGCTCGCGTATATTTCGATATTTCATTCATTCCGTATGCCCGTCAAGGCACCTTAGCATAGAAGGGTTATAGCGTCAACGTACATTTTAAAAATATTGATTTCTTGATATTTGGTGCTAAGAGCCGCTTACATGTGATAATGGCAACAGAAAATATATAAATTTATATTTAATTTCGTTCTTATGACTTACCCCACAATAGAAGAAATGTTTATACAAATGGTAAACACATGGGAGACTTTAAGCTAGAAGGATATGGGCGAGTGATTCTGGTCGAACGAAGCAGAATGAGTCTAAATGAATAAAATCCCTTGAGTCCAGTCGTGAGAAAGTTGACACGTTTTATATAACTTCAATTCAATACATTTGTACTTGCCCCAGTCTCATCGTGACTCGACAATGACCGCCAATATCATACTTCATTACAACTCCATAGACTGGATGCTATAGTGAATAATTAGGTGGAAGCCCTCTAAAGAATGGTAAATGAACAAATGAAATACGACATGGAATGGAACAAACGAGCCCTGCTGATTTTATTTTTCTGATGTGTATTCAAGTTGAAAGCGTGAAAGAATTAAAGAAAAAGGTTTCAACAAACCTACGAATTTAGCTGTCAATAAACCGGATACTTTGGCAACCAGTCGTATCATTGTACGAAGGCAGCGCCATGAAAACGAATACTCCAGAGTAGTCATGCGTTTTGCGAAGTGACTGCAGGGCTCCATATATCGTTATCCGACAAAAAATTGGGTGTCCATAGACAAAAAACAAAACAAACAAATTCTGATATATCGAAGAGATGCAGCAGCAATCTAATCAATAGTTCTGAATAAGTATATTACCCAATAATCGAATCAGCCAATGGTTCTCGATCTATCGAGAGGTGTAGTATTGGGTCTATTATTTGTCAGCATTTGAATGGTGCAATATAGACTTCGTATGTGATGTCTAGCAATTATTATAAACAATTGAAAAATATGGGCATTGTTCCACGAAATACGGTAACGTGATTGTTGACTTGCATAATAAAACTGAATACCATTCATTCCTTTTCAATTAATGCTGCCGACGATAAAGCCAATATATCTTCAGATTTAAATATACAAATCACGTGATTGGTTTGTAACACGTGATTTGCCATTCTTCAATATAACTGAACACTACGTGGTTTGCCCGAAAGGCTAAACCATTAACTATAATACAATAGAAAATAATATTTCGTAATCGTAGTCCTAAATAACTATTGAAAATAGCTATTTTCAATAATATATCACATTTAGCAGTCCGAGCAGCGTTTATTAATGTATAAACTATAATACAAGTCGTTGTGAAGTATGGCAGCTAACATCACACCAAAGAATCGGAACGGAAGTTCAATAAGACCAAAGAACCCACTGATGTGTATGTATGATTGATTGATTCATTCATTCATTGATTTAAAAGAAAAATGCCAGTCCATCTTAATGCTACAATTTCATGTTGTTCAGTTCACCCTGGTCTCAGACTATTAGTTGTCTGAGTCCTGGTGAAACAGCTCACGCTAGAATACCGATTTGACTTCTTGCTTACAAATAGAACAAAAAAATAAAGGTTTATCAAATATACATTTTTATAACAAGATATACTTGCTCTTTTAGTACACATCGTGATGTTTTACTTTAATCGATTCGTTTGACAAATCGAAATTGATATTGCTATAGCAACAATGACTATTTATTATGTAAACATCACGATACGGAATTGTATCTGAAGTCGCTAATATGGTGAAGTAGTGTTAAAACACTGTGACGTCATCTTTGCGCGTGGTGTATGTCCGTACATGAACGAGAACGTACGTGGCCACCGTGACTTAAATAGCCCACACATGTATCTACTTCTGTTAGTTTAGTCGCTAAATTATCTTGGCACATGTATATTAAAGTCGACAACATTCCCCTTTATTGAAATGAATATCATAAACATAACATACCCTGTCGTCATCACACTGACATCTTATCCATAGTAAGTTTAAATTCACAGTAGAGGCTCACAACAAGTACAAGGCCAAGTTCAATATTCTGTGTTTAAAAACTATATATGAAAATATTTAATATAAAAATATATAAAACTGTTTGACATTTTGTTAAAGTATGTCTATAGATTGTGTGCCAATATCATCATAAGGCGTCGCCTCCTGATTGAGTCAACCTGACTTTTAGAGTCGGCTTTATTTGACTTTCTTTATCATTGGATGCTTTTTGAAATTTGTTACTTTTGTCTGTTATCGATCTCTGGTCTACGATCTACAATTATCAAGATATGCGCTTGAGCGGCCCCCTAGACGGTGTAACAGACAATAATGTCATTGTCAACAGGGTCTGCCATTGTGCGATATTAAAGCACTACAATGGCGTACGCGTGCGCACTGGAAACGTTATATTTACTATTATACCGGGACTTCCACGAATGCGAGTCAGCTTGTCAAGTGTATGCCAAGACAGTACGTAATAAACAAATTATTTACATCAATAACTACGTGAGAGATGTTTGTCATTAACTATTTTAGTTATGGTGTTAAAAGATGGCAAAATATAAGTGTCCAAGCTAGGAAACTAATGTATGAACATACTGATCTCGTCCCACGTGTGGGGTATCGGGTCAACGCGTCGCATTTGTTGATAAACATGTATCTTCCAACCTGTCAATTCAAGCATAGATTGTGTAAAGTGGGCCAATTCGCGTTGGTACCATACTACCCTTGATTTCATGTAACCAATTGACCGACTACCCCCAGCTTAGACCATGCTATGATCTAAACACAGATGCTACAGCGCTGGGCCATTGTATGCAACCCGGTGTTGGCAATAATATGGGGGCAAAATATTGTCACCCGATTACATCTGTTATGATTTAATCGATTTTTTTAGATAGAATAATAAATCAAAATTAAAATCACCCCACCCCACGTAGAAACTTGAAATGTATATAAAGTGGCACAGCGACGTGGTCGAGTCACTTTACTGCTAGAGCCAAGCAGAATAACTAGGAATATCATCGTACAGAAAGCAGTCTTGGCAGTCAACTAACATGGAATGCCTTCATGATATAAGTAACATTATGACGGATGGAAGACGACACATGTATGCAGATGCATCAGAAAACGCGGTACCTTACGAAAATAACACGAACAGACGAAGCAATATAGAAGTAAGTGCAGAAACCTATGGTTATTACGAGCCCTTGCAAAATGATGACAATATGAAATCAGAGGTGGAGGATTTACATGGCCATGCATGTATGTATGGTGCTGAGACAACGTCGACAGATACGCCTACCACGGCATCACCAATGCAACCAGCGTCATATGCCCATCACAGGATTCACCATGCAGCAGATACACCCTACTGCCGACAAAAGAAAAAACGAACATTCACTGCCTCACAGAGACGTGCGGCTAATATTCGGGAAAGACGAAGAATGGTGAATTTGAACGAAGCATTCGACAAACTTCGTGAAACTGTGCCAATGTTACCACACGAAAGCAGACTCTCCCGGGTGGACACTCTGAAACAAGCAATCAATTACATATCATTTATGACTGATATTTTAAGTCAGGAAAAATAACGGAGATGAACAAATTTGAGCTCTTCTGAATTCACAGAAGATCTTGTGTGATCTTGAGTATCAACTGAACAGTACTCCTTTCTTACAGTTCCATTGTGTCTCACCTCGAACAAAACAATAACACGTTTCCAATGTGGGATTTTCAATGTTGTACCGCCACCAACGGCTGTTGTGATTTTGATTCATCCAGCTAAACGTTAAAAATATGTTTCTACCACAGAGGGCGTCTCAATAATTCAGCGACGCTGCATCTCTTACAGATATCATAAAATGAAAAGCGAAGCGTCATCCCACATCGAAACAAATTGTTTTAGTTTTCATGATTTTTAATATTCGTATTGTATTGAGATGGTCTTGTATATAAACCGATAGTCATTTACAGAATAAATTTAAGAGTTTTAAATATATTCGATTGTGTTTGTTCGATTCTTGTTCGTGTTAACAATAATATGTCTATCTATAGAACCTGAGTTTTCACACATAACTCGCCTACCGAGCCTTTTCAATACTCAGACTGATGATACCGCAGGTAGCAAATGAAACGCTCATATGTACGGTGGCCCATATATACAATCGGCGAAGAATGACCAAATTTCGGCGATCAATGATGCATTGCGACGATCAATAACCAATTACGACGATCAATGACGCATTGCGGCGAACAATAACCAAATTGCGGCGATCAATGACGCATTGCGACGATCAATAACGCATTGCGACGATCAATAACGCATTGCGACGATCAATAACGCATTGCGACGATCAATAACGCTTGCGGCGATCAATAACGCATTGCGACGATCAATAAAGCATTGCGACGATCAGTAACGCATTGCGACGATCAATAACCAATTTCAGGGATCAATAACGCATTGCGACGATCAATAACGCATTGCGACGACCAATAACGCATTGCGACGACCAATGACCAACTTCAGCAATTTAGTTTAAAGGATGGACCCACAATGCTTTGCACACTTCAAT